CAGCTGCTGCTGCAGCATGGGTTGTCCCTGGCTGGCCAAGCAAGTGGGGGGCAATGGGGTGCTTGGCTGTGAGATCCTTGGCATCCGTGTGGGGCTGCACAGAAGCTCCCTCTGTCCCCATGGGTTTTTCCTTTGCTGAGGCAAGTCTGTTGACCTGGGTGATGTATGTTGGTTGCCCCAGAGGTGAAAAAGGGAGGTGTTACCTGGCATCTTGGGTGGTGAGAAGTCCACAGCAGTACTGGATAGAGCGCAGGGTGCAGCTGTTGCAAGTTGACAACACGGTCCTCCCCTGCCTCTGTGTTCCCTCATGGGGCCTGAACCAGCACAGGCTGAACCTAGGGTGCCCCAAAGCTACAGGCAGCACTGCCTGGGGCATCGTCTGCACAGGGAGCCCTGGGAGTCCTGTCCTGCCATGGGGTGGGCTGCAGAGGAAGCAGTGGGACAAGAGTCATGGGGCTGAGGCAGTCGCAGTGACCAGCTCTGAGGTGGTGTGGTGGTTATGGGCCATGGAGCAGAGGGTGGCACTGGGGTGTGGTGGTGCTGCTGGGCTGGGTCTGGCTGATGATCTGCTCTGCTCAGGTAGTGCCTTCTTCCCTCACCCAGGTGACAGCCACAGATGCTGACAGTGGCACGTTCGGTTCCCTTTCCTACTCCATTGGCTCTGGCATCGGCAGTGTTGTCCCCACACAGTTCAGCATTGATAAGCACTCAGGGCAACTGTGCACAGAGCAGCCCCTGGACCGCGACGAGGGCACATCTGCCTACGACTTCACCATCACTGCTGTGGACGGGGTGAGTGCTGGGGAGGCTGCAGGACACGGCACTGCTGACACAGCACTGTGTGGAGTGCTGCTGTCCTCGCACTCTCTGACCTGGTCCCTCCGCAGGGCGGCCTGAACTCCATGGTGTACGTGAAGGTGTTCCTGGAGGACACGAATGACAACCGGCCAGTGTTTTACCCACTGGAGTACGCTGCCAGCATCAGCACACAGAGCATGCCAGGGACGGCAGTGCTGCGTGTCACTGCCCACGACAAGGATGAGGGGCTGAACGGGAGAGTGACCTATCGCATTGTCCTGGGCAACTCACCTCCGCTCTTCTCCCTCAACAAGGACACAGGTGAGAGCTGGCAGGCAGCAATTGGAGCAGTGTGATGTGAGAGGTGTCAGAGCCAGCCTGAGGGTCACTGCTTGGCCACCTCAGCAGTGCAGTCTTCCTCCAGAGTGTCTGTACCTTTCCCTGCCACATTTTTCCCCGCCTGACTTCTCGAGCCTCTGGCAGCCTCTTCTTAGACTCAATCCCTGATCTCTTGTTTCTGCTCCCTCCCTGTTCCTAATTTGTCCTCCCTTCCTTCCTCTCCCTCATTCCCCATCCCTGGCTCGCTGTGCCTTTCCTCCTGCATGCTGCTGCTTTGCTCCATCAAGCTGTATCCTGCTTCATTTCTTGTCCTTGCCAGTCCCCTCCTCTCCCCAGCTCAGTTAACTCTCCTCTATAACTGTCGCTCTTGGTCCCACCATTCTCACTGACTGGCATCTGCTCTGCCCTGCATTGGACATCAAAGCCAGAGCAGCACAGTGCCCCATCAACAGCTTTCTTCCCCAGGAGTCATCTCCCTGTCATGGTCCCTGAGCGGCAAAGCCAACACCCTGGTGCAGCTGGTGATCTCTGCACAGGATGGGGGTGGCCTGCAGGCACAGCCGAACGCTCGGGTGAACATCAGCATCGTGGAGGGCACGGTCTCACCCCCTGTCTTTGAGCAGGCTCAGTACCTCTTCACCGTGCCTGAGGACATGCCACAGGGCACCAGTGTGGGAGCTGTCTGGGCCCAGAACCCGCCAGGTATGGGCCTGTCCCTTTTGCATGCAGTCACTTTCCCTGTTCCCAAACCATCCTCAAGGTCCAGCACCCACCACACTTCCTCACAGAGCAGCCCTGCTCTGGGAACTCCACGCACGTGCATCCGAATGCACACCCTGTGGTTGTCACCCAGTCCAGCGCTTGGGCTTACACACATGTGTACACACACCTATGTGTCCATGCACATGTGTGCAGTGCTGCTGGACACCTCGGACCACCGGCACAGCCAGCGCTGCCCAGCCTGCTGCTGGGCTGAGGGGTGAGCTGGGCAGCGACTCATTCAGGGTCAGAGTCACAGACTCAGTCAGGTTGGAGGAGACCACAGTGGGTCATCGGGTCCAGCCTTCCTGCTCCAGCAGGGCCACCTTAGAGCACATGACCCAGAATTGTGTCCAGATGGTTCTAGAACACCTCCAGTGAGGGAGAAACCACGACCCCTCTGGGCAATCTGTTCAGTGCTCAGGGACTGCACAGGAAAGAAGTTCTTCCTTGTATTCAGGTGGAACTTCCTGTGCATCAGTTTTTGCCCATTGCCTCTTGTTTACTGGTTTCCATCACTGAGAAGAGCCTGCTCCATCTTCATGGTATGTTCATGTACTTGTATACATTTCTCCTGTCTCCGTCCCCTTGTCCACAGGTCATGCTGATGACATCTTCTATTCCATCTCCTCGGGGGATCCTCATGGCTACTTCTCCATTGACTCAGCCTCGGGGCAGCTCCACACCAGCCTGCCTCTGGATCACGAGTCCCAGGCAGTCCTCATCCTGGATGTCCAGGCCCGGAGCGGTCCACCCCCTGCCTACAGCAACACACGTGTGAAGATCTCTGTGTCAGACGTGAATGACAATGTGCCAGCATTCCCAACCCCCTCCGACTCCATCCTGCTGCCAGAGGCCACTCAACCTGGGACTACAGTCTACACAGTGCAGGCTGAGGACCGTGACAGTGGCTCCAACAGCCAAGTGACCTTCGAGCTGGTGTCAGGGGGTGAGGGCACCTTCGGCGTGGAGCGCACCTCGGGGGCGGTGCGGCTGCTTGGGGCCCTGCAGTATGAGGCCAGCGCAGCCTACAGCCTGGCCATTGTGGCCCGGGACGGCGGTGTCCCCCAGCTCAGCTCCACCTTCACACTGCTGGTGCACGTGCAAGCCGAGGACGACAACGGGCCCATCTTTGACACTCTCACCTACCGTGTGGAGGTGCAGGAGGGTGTCCCTGTCTCCACACGCTTCCTGCAGGTGAGGGCCCTGGCGCACGATGCGGAATCCACGGCCCTCACCTACCACCTGCGTGCGGACGGGGACGCTGCCAGCTTTGGCATCATGCCTGAGAGTGGCTGGCTGTACGTCAAGAGTGCCCTGGACCGGGAGACACGCGACCTGTATGTGCTGACGGTGCTGGCCTCGGCAGGAGGTGGTGGGGCAGGGGGGGACGCACGGAAAACTGGCACCAGCACCGTGCGGATCAGCATCACTGACGAGAATGACAACAGCCCCCGACTGAGCGAGGAGCGGTACTTCTTCACTGTGCCTGAGAATCAGGCTCCGGGCAGCAGCGTAGGTAGGGTGACGGCCAGCGACCGGGACACGGGGCAGAACAGCCGGCTCACCTACCGCCTGCTCCAGCATGATCCCAGCTTCCTTATCCACACACAGACAGGTGAGACACTCACGACTTCCCAGGTGGAGCTGACTGGTGAGGAAGCCCAGGCCCGTGCAGCAGCAGAATATTCACCTTCCTGCCCCTGTGGTTCTGGGCTCTAGCAACACAGCTGAGCAACACAGCTGAGCACAGGCTTTGCTCTAAGGCAGCTTGTGGGCTGAGCTGTGTCCCCATTTCTCTGTGTTTCCACTTCTTGTGGCAGTTCCATTCCTGGAAGTGTTTGAGACCAGGTTGGATGGGACTTGGAGCAACCTGGGCTAGTTGAAAGTGTCCCTGCCCATGGTTGGGGGGTTGGAATGAGATGGGCTTGAATGTCCCTTCCAACCCAAATGCTTCTGGGATTCTCCCTCACAGGGGAGGTCAGCACCAAGCACAGCCTGGACCGGGAGCATCAGTCCAGCTTCCAGCTCCTGGTGATTGTGCAGGATGGCGGAGCACCACCCCGCAGTGCCACTGGAACCATCTATGTCACCGTGCTGGATGAGAACGACAATGCTCCTGCTTTCCTCCATGTGGGCAGTGGTCAGGAGCTACCTGTGCAGGTAGGGGCACAGGCTGGAGCACCAGTGAGGTGGGGCCTGATGGCCTCTGGATGTGGGGGCAGGTGGGTCTGCTGGGGGAAGTGGGGTGAGCAGAGGCACCCAGGAGAGTTTCAGGGTGGGAGATGAGCAGGCACAAGTCAGATCCGTGCAGCAGCCAGGGCAGTCTGGTAAATCTCACTGAGATGTGGCAGGATAGGTGCATCCTTGAGCAATTCAGACATCCCAGTGCACAGAGCAGGCAGGGGCTGCAGAGACTCTAGCACCAGCAGGACTGGCAAAAGCTCTTGGCTCACACATGCCTGCAGAGAGGGACAGCAAAAAGCCCTGAACATGACCGAGCAGAGACAGGGTGAACAGTTGTGTATGGGGTGGTGCAGGATGCAGTCCCCTTCTAGGTCTTGGGATTTGGGGTACAGCTGCTCATCTTCCTGGGAGGTCAAGCAAGCACTGCTCAGCTGGGCTTGGCACGCACGAGGGTTCTCTGGGAATCTGCTGTGGCTGCCAGCACAGCTTTCGCTCAGCTCTCTGATGGCAACAGTGGACAGCTGTGGCTGGACAGCTGTGCCTGCTCTGCACTCTGTGTATCAGGCTTGGTGCTCAAAGCCCCTTGTGCTGGGCTGGGTCAGAAACATCACAGTGATGGCTGCTGCTCTCTGTCGTGGGTCCTGCCTGAGCCATGCACCTCAGGCTGGTCAGAGCAGGCAGGACTGTGTTGGTGGTGACTGCCCGCCTGGGTGACACAGGACCTGGGGACACTCTGCAGCTCCAGCCAGGCCTCCCCTGGTCATTGCTACTTCCCTTCCCATTCCAGGGCACAGCTATCCCTTGTCCAGCTTCCTTCTCACATGCCCTGCTCTGCTGGCAGAGCTGCTGGCAGGGCTTGACCTGGTTGAGGGCATCCCAGGGCCTGGGGGAGGCAGAGAAGGCACAGTTAGTCTTGCCCTCTCTCTGAGCAAGGTTCTGGGACCAGGTAGCTGTGGCACGGGTGAATCTGTGCTGGACAGGCTCTGCGCTATGGCAGTGCTTGCACCCAGCATCCACTGCCAGCCCTGCTGGAATATCACAGAGGTGTGCACAGAGAAAGTCATGGAGAAATGAGAAGTTGCTTTTTTCAGAACACAAGACTGGGCAGCTCCATAAGAACTGACCAGGCAGCAGGTTTAAAACAAACACAGGCAGCACTTTTTCATGTGGAACATAATTAAATTGTGAAATCATTGCCCAAAGTTGCATGGGCTCAAAGCTAGATGAATTCATGGAAAGAGAAAAAATCCTTCAAAGGCTGTTGAACACAAATGTGATCTGTGGCTCAGGAAGTGTCTGAGCCACAGAGGGCTGGGAGCCGGGGAGGGTCACAGGAGGATTGTTCCATACGTGCCCTGTTTCTCACATCTCCGTGTATCCACTGTCAGACCCTGCAGAGCTGTGCCTGCGGTTGGAATGGCTTTGTGAGTCTGGGACCAGACTACTGTTTGCAGCAACCTTCAGGGAGGGTTGGGCAGACCCAGAGGAGCCCTCCTGGCTGCTGCCTCACCAGATGGCAGAGGCAAGCCCACAGCTATTGCTGTTTGGTTTCATTTGTGAGGCTGAACTGGTGTTTGTACATGGAGCTGCGTGGATGCTGCTCGTGTAACTCCTCTGCTGAGTCTCTGCCTTCCTCAGAGGGGTCTGGACTCCTCATGGAAGGGGAATGTGTCCCTGACCATGGAACAGAAGCTGCTCGTGTCCTGGCTGAGGGCAATGGGGACAGTGTGGGGGCAGAGCCTGCATCAGGGAGGGGGTTGGAAGGGGCTTTCGAAGTGTGGCCCCACGTGGAGGTGTCCACACAGACTCTCCTTTCATCCAGAGCCAGGCTATATTTAGGTCTGCGCCTCCATCGCTGCTGCAAAAGACTGTTCCAGATTCCTTGATCTGGTACTAGAAGCCGTCTCTTCATTTCCAGCCTAAACTAATTTCTGACCATTTTATACTCATTTGTTCTTGTGCCAATATTGTGTTTTTGCTTAAAAAGCTCTCCTCTCTCCCTGGAATTTCCCTCTCTCTCCCAGTGTTTACAGAACATGGTCCCAGCACTGCTTGGCCTGGCTGAACGAGTCCAGCTCCTCTGGTCTCCCCTCCCAGGGCTCTAGCACAGTGCCAGCAGCTTGGGCAACAGTCCTGGCCCTCTCTGCCTGGGAGCCACAGCCTCCCCCGGAGTCCTGCTCGGGTTCCACTTGTCCCTTCCCTAAGTGCATTGACATTGAGTGACAGACATCACCCTGCACAGCTGGGTCCGGGAGGGTGGTCTGTGCCACGGGATGTGCTGATGGGATGAGAATGTGAGGCCTATCCCCTCGGGGTGGGAATTTGGCGTCTGCGTGGGTGGAAGGACCGCAGAGCCTGTGCCAAGCTGGAATCCTGCTCCTTCAAGGAGTCTGTGCTGGAGGAGGCAGGTCTGCAGCAGGGAAGGGATGTTTGCTGAGGGTGACCCCAAAACCTGACAGGTGCTGAGGGGCGGCAATGGGAATGGGTTCAGTTCCATAACTACCTGGGAAAGGTGTTTGTTTGCAGTGCTGTTATGTGTGGTCTCTGCAGGGAAGCTGGCAGGTCCTCTCAGGACACAGGGTTACCTGAGCATGTGTGGGATTGATGTCTTGATGATCTTATGCTGTACTGGCATTAAATGGGTGTCTGAAGTGCCTACAGACAGGCAGTCAGTGCTACCTAGGAATAAAGGAGGGTAGGAAAAAGCCCCGAGCAAAGGTGCCTGAGCCTGGGAAGATGTGCCAGCTGCGTTTTCAGAGGTGGCAAACCCCCATGGCTGGCTGTGGGAGCCAAGGAGATCCCCAGCTGTGGCCAGGGAGGCTGGCACTGGGCTGTCAGGGCTCACGCCTTGGTGTTCACAGCTGAAGGGGTGTGATGGGGCAGAGAGAACCAGGACTGTCGTGGATCCCTGCACTTACCTACCAGCAGAGGCTCTGGGTGTAACATGGGTGAAGCAGTGCCCTCCCACAGCCCTGCAGCATGCCCCCACGCCATGAGACCGTTGTTCAACAGGACAGGAGGGCTGCGAGGCTGAACCTCCCCTGGCCAGCATTGCTGCAGACTCCTCTGTGTTCCCAGCCTCAGGCACAGCCTGGGGTCCTGCTGGGGGTCTGTACCATGGGTGAGGTGCAGGATGGTGTAGGACAGTGCAGATCTGTGCCATGCTTGGGGGTTTGTGGGGATGGTCTGAAGGGTGCCCCGTGCCACTCAGCTGCTCCCTGGGCTGTGCTGCAGGTGCTGGAAGAGAAGCCATCAGGACTCCTGGTCGCCTCCCTGCAGGCCAAGGACCCTGACGAGGGGGAGAATGGAACCATCATCTACTCACTGATAGGTACGAGCTGAATTGATGCTTCTCTGCCTCACAGCCATCACATAGGCAGATGGGTGCCCACTGCCCAGGACCTCCACACAACGCTCCCCCTCCTTCCCAGCCTCCCTTACTCTACCTCGTCCTTGCCACTCTCAGCGGTGTTTCACCTGTCTCTGCAGGCACCTGGGCAGAGCGTTTCACCCTGCACATGGCTACTGGAGAGCTGCGGACAGCCGCAGTTCTGCGCCGTGCTGACCGCGCTGAGTACGTCTTCACTGTGACAGCCAGCGATTGCGGTGTGGTGCCTCACAGCACGTCAGCCATCGTTCGTGTCCAGGTACCCAGAACCACAACTCCTCTCATCCCTACACTGCAGCTCCTCCTGTCCCTGCAGCCCAGCTCCTCTCATCCCTGCTCCCCAGCTCCTCTCATCCCTGAATCCCAGCTCCTCCTGTCCCTGCACTCCAGCTCCTCCTGTCCCGGCTCCCCAGCTCCTCTCATCCCTGCACCCCAGCTCCTCTCGTCCCTGCTCCCCAGCTACTCCTGTCACTGCACCCCAGCTCCTCTCATCCCTGCTCCCCAGCTCCTCCTGTCCCTCTACTCCAGTTCCTCTTGTCCCTGGACTGTCTACCCTTTGCTCTCCTCTTGGTTAATACCATCCACCTACTTAGCAGCCTTCCTTCCTCCTCACCCTCCTCTGCCTTCATCCCTGGCCACCTGCTGCCCTTGCTCATGTGTTGCTCCAGCCCTAAAATCCATGTGGAGAACCTGACATCAGAAGGAATGGGTCTGTCTGCTGCTCCAAAGTGGCCAACTGCAGTTTTACCTTTTCCAGCCTTGGACGACTGACTCCATCCTATATACTCTAGTGCAGGGAAGTCCTCAGAGGTCCCCTGCACAGAGACATCGATTCTTCCCATCATCTGCTGAAACCAGTGTTCTGACCCACAGGATGTCCCTCAGTCTGTGTCACTTCCTGCCTGGTACTGCCCAGTCAGCCACATCCTTTCTCTGCTGTTAGTAATGAGCTTCCTTTTACAGCAGAGACTCCAGCTCCTCATGTCGAGGTGCTCCCATGGAGCACCATTTCACATCTTCCCAGCCCTGTCCTTGCAGGTGCCAGGGCCGTTTGACTCTGCTTGCTGTGCCATCTCCACCAGCCCTGCCCACCGCTGGCCCATCACTCCGTCCTTTCTGTCACACAGCTATGCCCACGCTTGCCTTTCCCAGCCCAGCTTCAGCCTGGGTGGGCGCAATCCACCATGTTCCCTCAAGGAGCAGAGCCCAGTGTTGGCTGGGCACAGCTGCCTCCAGCCACACACAATATGTTTTGTACCATTTCCTTTTCACACCATGTCTGTAACTGTTCTTGTCACCAAAGCTATTCTGCAGCCTCCAGGCTGAGGCCAGGCTGGCTGTCCCCAGCATGGGGTTTGCATCCCTGTAGCACAGATATTTGCTTGACAGTTGTTGGGTTTGATCCCCTCTGGGCTGACAGGTTTGTTGTTATTCCCATTTTCCCCAGCTCCTTGACAGGAGTGTGCTGAGTTCTTCAGTGCATTTTCCATTCAGATCACACTGTGGTGGCTTTTCCTGCATCCTCTCTCCTATCTGCAGGGGCACCTGATTTCCAAATTAACTCCAATATCTTTAATAAAACCAGTGATAATATTAATGTATCTTGGGCTCCTACTGTGTTCTCTCACTTCCTGTACCTTCCATCAGGATGAACGTGAGCTCTCTTCTTGCACAGTCTTGCTTATGTTTGCAGAATTGTTTCTGCTGCTCTCTGTTGCCTTTGCAGTATCTGACACAGTCACAGACCCAAGGACTGGCTGAGGGAAGGCACCTGTGGAGAGTCACCTTGTCCAGGCCCCTGCTCAAGCAGGGTCTTCCAGGTGGCTTTTGGCAGTTTCCAGGGCTAGAGATGCCATCTGGAGATTCCACTCTGGGCAACTTGTGCCAGGGCTCAAGCACCCTCACAGTGAAAAGTGCATCCTGAGGGACCCTCCTGTGTCCCAGAGTGTGCCCCCTGAGCGTGCCCCTCACTGTCGCCTCTCCTCACAGGTGCTGCCATCCTCCCGTGTGCTGCCACGGCCCGACACCACCGTGCTGACCCTGCACCCACTCGAGGGGGTCAAGCCGGGGTCTGTGATTGGCTCGGTGGCCCCTCTGGATGCCCCTGCACGAGGACAGTTGACCTACACAGTGGTAGGAGGTGGTGGGGACGGCACCTTTGTGGTTGACAGCACGACAGGGGAGATTTATGCTGCCCGGGAGTTGGACTATGAAGCTGGGGCACGGCACGTGCTCCAGGTGAGCGCTGAGGACACCCAGCATGGCTACCTCTTCAACCGGCTGGTGCTGGTCCAGATCCATGTGCAGGACTGCAACGACCAGGCGCCCACCTTCCCTGAAGACCCCATCACCATTGTGGTGCCCGAGAATGCCCAGGCTGGCTCCTCGATCTTCACCTTCCAGGCG